TGGGAGTTGAAGTCCACATATCTTTAAGTTGCCAAGGTTGAAAAACACTGTTCTAGGGTGACACTGTATTTATTACATTTTGTGTTTCTTGAAAATGGGTGTCTCTTGAAAATGGGTGCTAGGACAGAGTTCAGATCTCGTACAGATTATAGTTAACTTTCATTCAAAATAAAAACAATTTATTAAGCATTGAAATTCATTGCTTTAAATTTGTGATATAGTGGATAAGGTGTAATAGGACTGGAGAGACCCAGGTTTCAGTCTGTTCTCAACCATGAAAATACCTGGGTGATCACTCTCTTAACCCAACTTAATTTCCAGGGTTATTGTAGGAAAAATGGAGAAGGGAGTGTTATGTATGTAATCCTGAGCTTCTGTAAAAAAAAAAAAAAGTGGGATGTATAAATCCAACACACTGAATAGGTGGCATACCATAAAATTCCTTTGTTTTCGTTTTTATGTAGATTACTTACTTGGTATTTTATTGAAGTATGATTTAATCTATAGCTGGTTTCTTGGCATCCGGTTAATGTTTGGTATCTGCCCAACTTGTGGATGATTAATGCAATCACTCAGACAATTCTGATTCTTAAGCATTTCACTGCTTACAAATCATATTTATACCCAAACCTTTCTAAGAATTTAAGGTGGCATATATGACTCTCCTAATAGAAGCAACATTTTCTGAATGTTTTGAAATATGCTCCAAGCTGTTTTAAGCTTGAAATAATGCTCCCAAGTTGAAAATATAATACCTCAAGTTCTTGATCTTTGTCCTGGGTTTAGAAGAAACTGAGGCATGTTGTTCTGCATTGTATTAAGTGCTCCTCTGTTTCGTCATTTGCTTTTAAAGATATTATTCCAAGCCACAGTGTCTTGGAAAAAGCATTAGTCAATAAAACAGCTTAAAAAATTGCTCTGTGTAAGTTACAAGTTCATGTTTGTAACAAGGTTGTTGTCTGGTATATTTCTTCATACAAGGTGCCAAATGCAAAAGTGTGTACCATGTAGATTCATTACAGATAGTATTGCTTGTTGTTGAGCTTTCAACAAATGTGAAATGTGAAACTGTTGCACTGTTTGTTGAGCTTTGCAGGCAAATGTCAAATGCAAGAAACATGCCCTATACGTGGACATTAGGAAGCTTAAAAAAATCCTAGAAAAATTGTTATATTCATAGACTATATATTGAAGTGACACAATTTCTCTTCCAGTGCTGTAATTAAAGTACAGGTAGTCCTAGCTTAATGACAATAGGGACCAGAAAATTGTTAAGCAGGGTGGTCGTTAAGTGAGTAACCATGTGACCGGACCTGATTTTACCACCATTTTTACGATGTTGTTAAGCAAATCACCATGGTTAAGTGAATCACATGGTCATTAAGCGAATCCAGCTTCCTCAATGGACATTTGCCAGGATTCACTTAATGATCATGTGATTTGCTTAACGATTGCAGTGATTCGCTTAATGACCATTGTAAAAAAGGTCACAAATCGCAATCATGGAGTGGTGGTACGATGGTTTGCAACAGTCGTAAGCACGAGTACAGGTCATAAAGCACTTTTTCCAAGGCCATCATAACTTTGAACCATCATTAAACAGTTAAGCGAGGACTACCTGTACTGGATTAGACCAAGAAGAGCCCAGGTTCTAGTCAACCCTTGGCCACTGAAGCTCACTGAATGAGTATGGGCCAATCACTCCTTCTCAGACCAACCAATCTGATAAGGTTGCTGTGGGGAAAAATAGAAGTCTGTGCTAAGTATGCTGTCTTGAGCTCCTGAATAAAAGACAGGATATGAATTAAAATAAAAGGTCTTTTCACCATTGTTTGCTCTTACAATGCTTAATTTAAAAAAAATCCTTGACTAATCTTTTTGCAAGTTGAAGGAAAGCAGCACTACTCAGCATGGACTACAATGCCCCTTACTTGTATGGCCCTACAATAAAACATTTTAAAAGGGGTGTTTCTGTGACCTTGGTGTTTGTTTCAAATTTTCATTGGCCATATGGAGGAACATCTCAAGCTTTGTTCCACATCTATAGTTCCTAATGGCTGTTTCCTTTGAAACGAATTCCTGCTCAGTCTTTTATCCTAATTATTCCCTGAGCTGCATTAGCTAGCTGACCCATTAGAATTATCTAATATACTAGAAGAATCCAGTGTATCAATCATAACTTTTGCAAAAAACACATATAGGAAGGATCATAACCATTCCTTTTCAAACACAATAGGTTTTGAAGCATGAGAACCTGGGGACTGAACTTGAGACAATGCTTGTGCTGTAAGTAGCCAGTCTAGGTGCAGGCCAGAGAACTTTCTCCTGTATTGTTACAAAGCTATGGAATGTTCTCATAGCATTTGTATCTGTAAAGATTCATCTCTTTTGACAAGCTTTTAATAGTGATAGTCATTTTAGCATTTTAAAAAGCATAATACAAATCATCAAAACTGACTAGCAGCTTAAGCACTTATTTCAGCAGAATGGCGGAGCTTAAGTCAAGCTCTTGGGACTGTTGCCTACTCTGGCTGGTAGCAGCTCCCAAGATTTGTCTTTTCCAACCTTTTGGCATGAAACATTCCCTAATTGAAGGGTGAGCCTTCTATATGCAAAGCATGCACTGAAGCTCTTGTTTCTCCCTAGGGAGCTGGTTGAGTGAAGTATGCTAATGACAAGAGGGTTGAGTTGCTTAGGCAAGTAAAACAAGACAAGACAGCTGATGAGGAACTGTCAATTAATACAAATGTGAGAGACATTTTATGTTTATGGGGAAAAATTAAGAGTAAGGTACTACCAATATTTAGATCTGGACTTTCATATGAGAAAAGTACATTTCAAAGCCCAGTAGTAAGTATGATTTATTTTTCTGATGTTAAAACTATCCAATTCAGAAGGCCTTAGGGGCCACATTTAAGTCAAGGTGTCAATATATTTCAGAAGTAAAAGATTCAGATGTTGGGAAATGGTTGATTCTGAGAAACATTTTTTCAAAAATTTATGTTATGAAAGGTAAAACAAAAACTGGATTAAAACCCCAATGCAGTTAAAAACCAGCTTTATTGTTACAACTAATTTTGAATTATTTACATAATATAAATCTCTTTGCAAGATACATTCCTTCATTGAAATCAATGATAAAAGGCCTTAATATAGAGCTTCAACAATGCTTAGCTTAAAAAAAGTTCACTCCAGTACAAGCCAATGAACAGAAAGCACAATTTTTAGTTCCATTCATAACATACAGATTAGGGTTTTTTCTCTCCCTTTCATTGGACAGGCAACCCTTCACAGGACAAGACTGACTGAACAAACAAAAGGTTAAAAATGTAAGGAGAGAAAAGAGAGCCAAGGGAATAGTCTGCTCCTATATGTTGTTGTCACACATGAACGGTGAGCCTCAAGAAATGAATCCTTGTAAATGCCAAGTTTTTCATTACCCAAAGATACCAAAGTATTTTAGCCGTTGATACCATTTACAACAATTAAGGATAAGGTTTCTTACACAACTATGGACTACCTCTGCAAATAAACAGGTTATGGGGCATATCAGAAACACAAGAAGCCATTTCAATACTTTGATCCTACTGAAATTAATTAAGCCTGGCAGTAATGTTACTGCTCCTTCTGACTGGTATCTATTTTTAATCTGTATTTTCACAGTTGAGCCACTGTGTTTGCTTGTCTACATTAGTATTTGCCTTCAAACTGTGAGAATTGTCTTTACTGTCATTTATAATTTATACAACACTTTCAGTCAGCAGTGCTTACAACTCATTTAAGTGCTTATTTATTATCTCAAATCAACCCATCAATTAGTACTTGCAGTATTGAGATGGAGAGCCAAGTCAAAAAGAATGTGCTCCAGATTGTCCACTCCTTCACTCCTAAGTCAACCACAGCTATTGACTGGCTTTCAAAACATTGTCAAAATGGCAGGCTCCCACAAAATGCTGAAGATTTTTTTTTAAATCCTAAACGTATACAAATATTAATTTGTGATCTAGCACAACAGATATTAATGTATTCTTACTATATGAAAAATGAAGATTTTATATACCAATATTTCAATAGGCAAACCGAAACTAAAGGCCTGCATCTTTGGAGGGAGGGTGGGAGAAATTTTAATTTTGTTGGAGAAAAATCACTGAAATCATAAGTTAATTTGTTTTGGGTTTTTTTTCTTTTGCTAATTTATTTAAAGCAGGCATGGATTACTTTGATAATTCTTCACTATGCTGGCATTTATTAATTTAGCAAACAAAAACATCAACTTTTCTTAACATTGTCACATGCAATCAATTCTGACGGACCTTTTCTCTCTCCCTCCCCCCACCCCCCCCACCCCGTCTCCAC